TATTTCGGGCCCATGTTATATAATCTCATTCCAATTGGGCCTTGAAATGATTTCATGTTTAGCGATGCCTTAGTGGTTCACTTACATGGATCATTGGGCCTAGAATGAGTTTATACCTTTTTCTTCGCGTAAATTCGATTAAGGATCTAGTGAGTTTTTGTCGGTTGGCACCTATTAAGTGTACGATCGTAGCCTGTAGTTATAACCAGAGTCTCTTGGAGGGAGAGCGGGGATTTGTGTATAGATCTATACGGGGATGACACCCCACACCTGAGCTGTTCGCTACAGTTAGACTAACTCAGTCTAGGGTGACGAAAACCTTATAATCAAAATCAAACCGGCGTCCAACAACGCCAACACAGGCGAAATTGTCATTATTTAGTATGGTTATGACGGCTCGCTTAGAGTAATTAACGTTATGAAGTTTACGGAAGACCTTTCTCTTTTACAGACAACATCGGGTTGTCTGGGAACATTCTCTATACATGCTCTTTACATTCTCTCTACATTCTCTTTACCCCCTTTTAGTCAAATAAACAATAACATACATGCATTAATACAAGATCGAACACAATCTTCACAACTCATTTTTTTTTAGAAAATATCGGATTTTCTGGTGTTACAAAACTATACAAAACTGTTTACTTAAACATGCTTATGAACTCACCAACATTTTTATGTTGACCTTTTTAAATTAACTTGTATTCTCAGGAAACCGTTAAAGCAGGATGAACAAAACAAACTAATGGATATTGTGTTATATTTTGTTTCATCATAATCTGACTATTTTGGCATGTAATATTCAAATATAATACTCGATATAAACAATGAATGTTGTTATATTACATATGTGATGATGATGATGTTATGTTTCAATTATATACTCTGTAATGATACTACAATGTTGAAAGTCATATCAAGCCCCCGGACGTTTCCGCCGTCTGGTTCAGGGGTGTGACAGATTAAATACACGAGAACAAAATATTGAATCGAAAATGCAAAACGAATATTGTTTATATAAATCATATGTGATTAGATACATATAATCTAATCATATGTGATTAAATAATGAAAAACAACTATTGAATCGAGAAAGCAAAAATGAATAGTGTCATCATAAATCATACTCCCTCCGTCCCAAAATTATTCTCCACAGACAAAAAACACACAAATTAAGGAAGCATTAGTTACCACTAAGTTTATACAATACAGTGACAATTTTGTCCTTACTTTGCATTTAATGTTTTATTAAATGCTTAGTTGGTTAAGTAATAATAAGAGGGTATTTTGGTAAAAATGTTATTTATTTTTAGAAGTTGACTATTATTTTGGGACAAATCAAAAAGGAAAGATGGACTATAATTTTGGGACGGAGGGAGTATATGATTAGATACATATAATCACATGTGATTATGTGTATTTAATCAGATATGATTGATATGGAGAATATTCATTTTCGCGTTTTCGACTCAATATTTGGTCTAATATATTTAATTACATGTGATTATATGTATTTAATCACATATGATTTATGTAGAAAAAAATTTGTTTTTGCTTTCTTGATTCAATAATTGTTCTCGTGTATATAATCATATGTGATTAAATGTATCAAATCACATATGATTTATATGGACAAGATTCGATTTTTTCCATATTAAGCATATGTGTTTATATACATATACTCAAATTTGATTAAATACATGAGAAAAACTATCAAATAAACATCACAAAAATAAATCATGTCCACATAAATCATATATGATTAGATACAATGTAACATTCGGACCTTGTAAGTTTTCCCTTTAACCCTTGCTAATAAAAAATTCTTGCATTTTGGTCCTCTGGCTAGTACGCGGGGCGTACTCTATGAGTACGTTTAGTTTACTAGCTAGATCGGGATCGCAGGCATCGACCACGTATGTTGGGCATACGTGGGTTACGCTGGGTGTATGCTGGCTTGGGACAAACCCTGATTTTTAAGGTTTGTGCCCTATTTAAGCTTCTTTAACCCACCTCTTGGACATTTTAGACTAGCCTCCATATCCTCAAACCCTAATTTCTTCCCTTAGCCTTTGTGTGGTGCTTTTTGAGCTTTTGTGAAGATCTTTGGTGTGTTTTGTGCATCTTGAAGTGGTACAGGAAGATTGAAGACTCATCCTTTGGAGAAGAGCTTAGAGATCCTGATTTAGCGTCTCCATTTTGTGACTTTTGAGGTATAAAGTCCATAACTTATCAACTCCTTATACATATCTTCTTTTGGGCTTGTTTATGGCTATTTTGGTCCCTTTAGTTGGTCCTTGTGAGCTAAGGTCGTTTCAAAAGCTTAACCTTTTAGATATGGGCCTTTTGGAGGTCCCATCAACATAAAAATGCAATCTTTATGGTGTGTATGGACTCATTCATGTGTTAAGACCATTTGGTATGCTCTTTTGAGCTCTAGAGCCCATTAAGCCATGCATGCACATACACTTGCCAACTTTACGTGATAAATCATCTTTTGAGACAAGATCTGAAGGAATAGAGTAAGGGTTGGATGGATTAATTGCTTAATGATGTGGGGTGGCCAACTGGGGAGTATGTTAGGCGTACAAGCTGGTACGCTGCACGTACTAGCCTCATAGCATGCACACTAAGCGTACGAGCTGAGTACGCCCCGCGTACTCATCAGTGGGCTTCAGAATTTTGGGCTTTTCGGTATTGGGCCCATGTTGGACCTTAGAAGTCTAGGGCTTTGGTGGGCCATCAAAAATTCTTTTTTTGGGCTGATGCTATTTTATTGGACTCTCTTGGATGAAGGCCCACGAAGGGGTTTGGGCCCAATTTGGAAAATTGAGCCATAATTGGGCCTTAGGTGGCTATTTTTGGGATTGGGAATTTTTGAGTAATTGGTTTGGGCTTTGGCCTTGGGCCAAGTTAGTTAAAGGGAAAATCGTCTTTTATCCTAGTTTAGACTCTTGGTATGAGTTGGTATCCATTTAATTGGATGTTACTTTATGATGATAGCGTGGGGATTTTCAGACCAACAGCTAGAGATTTACGTGTGAGATTCAACAGTCTGAGGTGAGTCTTCCTCACCATGTTTTGTGGTCGAATGCACCAATGTCGACCCATGGTTTGTTATGTTAGGGTGCTAGATGTCTGCATGACTCTTGCATGCGTATGTGTTTGCATGCTTAATGGGCGGGGCCCAATGGATAATCTGTGTGCAATTATTTTTTATACTTGTGTGTTTGTATGCTGGGCGGGGCCCGTTGTGCGAGTTAGGATGAGGCCCGTTATACTCAGTGGGTGGGGCCCGTTATGCAAGTTAGGGCGAGGCCCATTATATATATATATATATGTTATGTGTGGTATGTGGTATTTAGAGGAAACTCACTAAGCTTCGTGCTTATGGTTTTTAGTTTATGTTGCAGGTACTTCTAGTGCTAAAGGGAAGAGCTCATGGTGATTGCAGTGCACACACGATATTGTTCCGCATTTTCATGATAACTCTAATATTATATGATGTTTTGATATATTTGTTCCATTTGGGATTTATGATGATATTTATGGATATTGTTTTATTAATCGAAAAATGAAATTTTTGAGTCTTATTTTTGGGACGTTACAACAAATAATCATAAGATTATTTAAAAATATGTTGACCAAAATCGAATCTTTTTCATATAAATCATATATGATTAGATACACATAATCACATGTGATTATATGTGTCTAATCACATATGACTTATATAAACAGTATTGGTTCTCATGTAATCATATGTGATTAAATACAACAACTATTGAATCACATGTTATTATATGTATCGAATCACATGTGATTATATGTATTTAATCTCATATGATTTATGTGGACAATATTTATTTTTGTGTTTTCGATTCAATAATTGTTCTTTTGTTTTTAATCACATGTAATTATATGTATTTAATCACATATGATTAATGTGGACAATATTTATTTTTGTGTTTTCGAATCAATAATTGGTCTCGTGTTTTTAATTATATGTGATTATATGTATTTAATCAAATATGATTTAAGCGAAAATTATTTTTTTCGTGTCCTCGATTTAATAATTTTTTTCTCATGTATCTAACCATATATGATTATAAATATTTAATCATAAATTATTTACGTGGAGACGATTCGTTTTTCCGTTATTTATTCCATAGTCGCTCTCATATTTAATCATATATGGTTATATGTACTTAATCACATATAATTTGTGTGAACATGATTCATTTGTTATTAAAATGTGAATAAATTGTTCATCAAATATTTGTTATAGTTAAATCGTTTTTCACATATAAATAAATGGTATACCATTTATCACATTTTTAAATTAGTTTTCGTCCTATGTGAATAAAATAACTTATCATATTTTTAAAATATCATTAATATAAACATATGCGATATTTAATGTCATATTCAAAATTATTAGAAATTTAATTGTGATAATTACATTACATACACATGTAAATAAATGAAAATTGATCTTATATTCAAAATTATTAGAAATTTAATTGTGATAAGGGATCATTGAAAGACAACTATAATTTTGACCACCATTTTGTTTGAAAACGATTCAAAATTCAACTAACACATTTTCGATTTATTTATAAAATTCAAAATCGACGCATTTAGATTCCTTATAAAATTTGATTGATTTTAATATTCTTACTTTATTTTCAATGTGTCCCTCCGTAATTAAATTTCTCTTTAATTTGGAATATCACATGGAAATATATAATTTTTAACTTTAAAATCTTAAAACCGGAAATCACCTTAACCATTAGACTATGAAATATGTCTTTTGTCCGGAACAAAAAACTCTCATCTTATTTGAAAAGTTATATCCCATATAAACCAATTTTATCAATACCAATGAATTGAAAGGATGCCCATCGAAACCTAAAATCTTCAAAAATTATCTTTTTTGATTCATCTCTTAAATCGAAGTTGTGAATAAAGAAACTCAGTCACCAGTGAATAAAGAAGCAATGGAGAGAGGGAAATCCGAAGAGTGGCAGCAAGTTCAACGAAGGAAACAATATGGGAGGGAGTTCGACATCAACGGGAAGGCTGTCACTTCTACTTCCAAAACTTTCCTCCAGATTGGACTGAAGCAGCGTTGTGGAAGACTTTTAGGAGATACGGGGCCGTAGTCGACGTCTACGTTGCCAAGAAGTTGAATCGTCTTAAGATGAAGTTTGGTTTTGTTAGGTTTCTTCGAATCCCAGATGTTCTTTCATTTGAAAAGAGGCTAAATGGGATCTATATTGGAGCACAGAAGATCGATGTAAATGTGGCTAAATTCGATAGGAAGGAGCTGGCCATAAGAAACAATTCGCAAGGGCGGCAAAATGGACCTGGCTCCTCCCAAAAGTCTCACCTGAGGGGCAACAAATCTTTCGCTAATGCAGTTAAAGGAATAAATCATCCTGTGGAGGATGCCAGGAACATGGAGAACTCAAAAGCAGGTGAGGGGACAAGAAAGACAGCTGATGAGGAATCATGTAAGAAAACCATCAATTTGTTATCCTCTGCGGAGGTAAAAGAGTACATGCAAAATACTCTACTGGTAGGAGAGGTTGAAAACTTCCAAGCTCTCATGAACGTGAAAGCTTTTCAAGAAGTCGAGGGATGCCAATCGATTAACATGCGATACCTGGGGGGATTAAAAATGCTCATTGAGTTCGCTAATGTAAACGTGAAAGACAATTTCCTAAGGAATGGAGCGGAAATATGGCAGCCATGGTTCAAAAGTCTCAAGCAGTGGCGCGTAGAAGATAATCATAATGAAAGGGTGGCTTCTATAATTATTCAGGGCGTACCCCAACAGGCTTGGTGTGAAGAAGCTTTCAGCATCATTGCAAGCGATTGGGGAACTGTGTTATCCCTGAAGAATGTGTTACTGACTCCCCTAATCTGGCTTTCGGTAGGGTTGGAATTCTAACTTCGCGTCCTGGTCTCATAAGCACCTCAATTGCAATCCTTGTGGATGGGGTGAATTATGTCATCAATGTTATGGAAGATTTGTTTGAGTCCCTTAAACTCAGCCCAGTTCTTGCTTCCAACGACTACTCCCCGAATATGGCTTGGTGGAACGACGATAAGGTAGATGACAATATCAGTAACAACGGAGATCCTCATATGCAATCGGATGAAGTTGACTACTCATTGTCAGAATTATCTCTGGTGGAATCGGTCAGGAGTTTCCGGTCGGAAGCCAGAGAGACGAATGTAAGTAATACTCTTCCAATCCCCGAGAAGTCGCCTCGTTTTTCCAAAGCGGCAGATCTCTGGGGAGATAAGGAATCGTCGCCACGAATTCAAGTGAGTCAAAAGTCAACCCATACCCATCCCCCTTTGGACCAAATCAAATGTTGGGCTGATGTTTCCCCAATTAACAAGCGGTCCATACCGTGGCCCAATAAACCCCTTGACCTTAATTGTGCTCCCTCTCATTCTACTTCCCCTGCTCAATCAAAGCAGTCTGGTGAAAAAAAAAATAAGTCGCCCCCATTGTCCCTTCAATCAGATCCTCGTAACGACTCCCATATCCCCCCCCCCCCCCCCCCCCCGTGGATGGCCCTCAAGTTGGATCGCCAGCGCTACAGCAGCTTTCCTCCGATTCTCAGATCCAATTGGCGGCCTCGCAGTCCACATCCATCGAAGTTGCCAAGACCATAGATATTGGGGAAAAAGTGGGTTTCCAAGTTAGAGGTAGGGAAGAGCAGCTGAGGGAAATGATCAAATCTCGTGGTGTGATTACTGTGGACCAATGAATATCTTCTCAAACAATATTCGTGGAATTGGGTGCGAGGTCAAAAGGGAGTGGATAAAAAATTCTCGTATTCAAAATCATTCGTTCTTTGTCGGGTTGCAGGAAACGAAATTGTCGAAGTTTAAGGGGGTCTCGATAAGTATATTTGGGGCCCAGGAAATTTTCAAAGTGAAGTAGTCGATCCACTGGGATTTTCTGGTGGAATTGCTTCCCTTTGGGATCCATCGGTATTTTGTGCAGTCGAATCAACTAAGGGATCTGGTTTTCTCTGTATTAGAGGATCGTGGCTTAAATCCAAGAAGAGTTGTTGTTTTGTAAATGTCTATGCACCTCAGGATCCTAATGAGAAAAGGTTATTATGGAACAATCTTTTTGATATTATTAATTCATATCCTAATTGTTGCTGGTTTGTCCTTGGGGACTTCAATGCTGTCAGTTTCCCTAAAGAGAGGTTGGGTTCTATCTTCTGTCAACAAGGTGCATACTATTTCAACAAGTTTATTTTTTTAGCTGGATTGCTGGAAATCAAAATGGGTGGTCGTCGATTCACCTACATGAACTCTGAGGGGGATAAACATAGCAAGCTCGATAGGTATCTGGTTTCTCCAAACATAGTTGACGCATGGCCGCATCTAAATGTTACCACTTTACCTCGCGTCCATTCAGATCACTGCGCAATAATCCTATCTTCAAACCAGCTAGATTTTGTGTAACGCCATGTTTCTGGTACGTATTTAATTCATTAAATGTTATTTTATAAGAGCTACTCGATGAGTTGTAGCCCTAACTCGTCGAGTAGATCCAGGTTTGGACGCGGGTTTAAGTGATCTACTCGGCGAGTCCACGCCATGACTCGACGAGTAGGCCAGTCTGGGGGAAACCCTAATATTTAGGGTTTACACCCTATTTAAGCAACATTATAGGTCTCTTGTCCAGCCTCCATCACCTCCAGAGCAGTACTCCCGAAACCCTAATCCTCCATAAGTGAACTTGAGCTTTCTTTGTGATTTTGGAAGTTATTTGGTGTATTTGAAGCTTGTGAGAAGAAGAGGAAGAAGGAGGACTTCAAGAGGAGATTGTAGATCCAAGAACAACATCCGCTTCTTTTCACTTTCTGGTAATCAAGCCTCATACTTGACTTGTAGTTTCTTAGATCTCCTTGTGGTCATCTTTATGAGGTTTTGGGTCCAAGGAGCTTGATCTTTGAGACTTGGACATCCCAAGTCGAATTGCACACAGATCTGGAACCTTGGAGGGTCCTCATGGCATAAAGGTGCCATCTTTATGGCTATGCGAACCCCAATTATGAAATAAACCCCCATTTGTGGCCTTTTGAGCATAAAAGTCCCATGCATGAACGTAAAGTTCATGACTTTACGTGTTATACCGATCTTAGGAGCCTAGATCTACCTTCTGGATGAGTTTGTGCACATCAGAAATCGAATTATAGACTTGGACATGCATGGACTCGGCGAGCCGTTCTTGAGACTCGTCGAGTCGTGAGTTGGTTCCCAAAATTGTTATGACTCGGAGGAATCCATTTTAGTCTAGAAGGGATTTGGATGAGTCCAGGGAAGGGACTCCATGAAATGAACTAAGCCAAGGATCTGGAAACCATGGGACTCGGCGAGTGTAGGAACGTACTCGGCGAGTCCAAGGCCATCTTCCAACTTATGAAGATGGACTCGACGAGTTGTTCATACAACTTGGCGAGTCATAGACTAGACACAATCATATGATAAAGATAAACTCGACGAGTTCAAGAGGAACTCGGCGAGTCGGATGAATATTGTCCCGATGTTATGATTGAAGGAGCACTCGCCGAGCTCTTACTAAACTCGACGAGTAGAGTCGGGTTGAGGACAAATGAAAGAATAAGGACTCGGCGAGTTGGCGGGCCAAATCGACGAGTCATGTCAACTGGAATGTTGACTTTGACCAGAATATTGATTTTGACCAAGGGTGAAATGGTCACTTCACCCTGAGATTTAGTTATCAGTTTTTAACTAAGTGTCATTGTGGGAATTATAGCCGGGGAGTCGCCGGAGCAGCAGCCAGATAATTCTCACCCAGGGTTCAGCAGTCAGACACACGAGGTGAGTGTCCCTTCAGTAGGAACGGGTCTAAGGCACCAAGGCCGACCCGTGTTATGAGTTTATTATTAGTCGAGTGTGGGCGGGGCCCGTATCTCTTAGTTAGTTAATTGTGGGCGGGGCCCGTATCTCCTAGTAGTTGATTGCAATATGATTCATGATTGAATGATAGATTCAGTATACTTGTTTCTGTGTGATACTTGTATGGCAGTATAGTAGCTGAGTGTGGGCGGGGCCCGTATCTCATAACAGATGAGTGTGGGCGGGGCACGTATCTCATAGCAGGCGAGTGTGGGCGGGGCCCGTATCTCAAGTGGCTGAGTGTGGGCGGGGCCCGTATCTCAATATAGCAGAGTGTGGGCGGGGCCCGTATCTGCTAGTTGCATGTTATATGTGTATGGTATATGGTAGTTTGGGGGAGCTCACTAAGCTTCGTGCTTACGGTTTTCAGTTTTGGTTTCAGGTACTTCCACTAGCAAAGGGAAGGGCTCGGGATGATCACATGGCACACAACACAATCTTCAGCCTGGGAGTTTTACTCTGATATTTTTTTATGAGATTTTATATGGAACAGTTTTATGACACATTATGATACATGATTCACGATTTTATTTATGATCTTGGATCGGTTATGATTTTATTAATGATTGAAAAATGAATTTTTTTGGGCCGTATTTTGGGATGTTTCAAGTTGGTATCAGAGCCTTGGTTTGAGGGATTCGGGCGCACTTTCGGGTGTGTCTAAACTCAAACTAAGGAAGTGGTATGGAATTTTCAAGATAAAATCATTTTTACAAAAGGATTTTGAAAATAGAAAAGATCTTTGAAAAGAGAAAAGGGTGTGGTGCATGCAATCAGCCGAGCTCAAGTAAGTACTCCCAAATTACCCATACAAGTTTATGCTATGCTATGTTTATCATCTTTATTAGAACAGCATGCTAGATTAGGACTAAGGACCTAGGAAGGATGCCTTATGTGCCTGTATGTGTTTCAGCTTTATGAGAACTGCATGCTAGTACAGATTAGTCAGGGTGATAGCCTGAATAGTAGATGCTGATTATGTGTACTCAATGCCCGAATGCTGCTTGCTTTGTGCTTTTAGGAGTTCTAGTTGTCTTTCATTAACTAGTGAACGAATGCGCTAAGTTACATATTGCAAGGACTAAATAATTTCAGAAGGTTAGGTCTAACTCTATTTCGCAGCTCTTGTTTGAGTCCAACCGTTGTAGGGTACGATCTCTCATTCGAAGAATTATCTAGTCTGAGTAATATGTAATGGTATTCGCGAGCTAGTTAGGGGAAGAAAGTAGGGACTTCTTATGCAGCTGATGGCGGAGAGTGGGTTGGTGATTACCCTAGGGAAAGCCTAGGAAGAGTTTAGCATAAGATCAGCAGTATTAGTAGTAGAAGGGACTTGGTGGAGTCGAGGCAGATCTTGAGGAAAGTACGGATAGATGTGGAAGGTAGTATGGGCCTGTACTACTGAAAGCAGAGGATCCGTACTCGAATCAAGGAAGGCTGAGACAAGACCAGGGAACTTGTAGTGTATGTGATCCCTCCAGTTATATTAATATGTTGATGTCTGTTATGTTGTGTTTTCAGAATGGTGGTTTTACGCCCTAGACCAGCAGTCGGTAGTTCAGGTGCAGGAGAGGGATCAGTCTCGGGCTCTGGAGCCGGGCAGTTGGATGAGCAGACCAGGGAGTTCATCTCCTCGAAGGTCACACGCAGCATACTAGACCAGACTCCTGTGATCTTTCAATCGGCCAAGGAGGGTATCTTAGAGCTTTTGGATGAGAAGTTAAGCGCATTCCGTACTGAGATAGCGGCCATGATGGGATCGCGCACATTAACTTTCAGGGAGTTCAGAGCATGTGGGGCTCCCAATTATCATGGGGCTCGGGACCCCATTGCCAGTACTAGGTGGTTGGTGGATGTCGCCAACGCGTTCCACACTAGCAGATGTCCCGAGGGGGACAAGGTCAAATTAGCGTCATGCCTTCTGAAGGACAGGGCGAGAGATTGGTGGGAGGATGTCATACAGGCCGTGGGTGATGACGCGGTATTGGATGCGAT